ATATATATATATATATACTCGTATATAGTTCAAAGCATTATCAATGTTTTTCAGATTTTTAGTTTGGAGGAGAGTAATATGTTGTCACGTGTAGAGGGTATGCGTGACGAAATGACGGGTTCTAGTTCGGATGATTGGATTTATTGACAGCTTGGTTACAGGCACTCTCTCAGTTACACTCAGATACACAGCGCTATCGCCGATATACATAAACCAGATTTTCTAATCCACTGTTGCACGCACCGTCGCACATATAAAGTCTTCTAAATCACGCTGGCATTCCTGGTTCTATTGCGCCGGCTTCCGCCGCTCTCAACTGCTCGGGGTAACTTCCTCAACACTGACGAGTACTCTCGTTATGTAGCTTCCGCACTGACCACACAGAAAACGTGTTTACCGATTGCCTAGCAACAGTTGCAGCACGGGCTCTCCTGTTGCGTGGCGTCACAGCCTAGCGGGGAGGGTGTTTACCGAGCGCTGTTACGCAATGAACACTCGTTGCTACGGATATTCCTACGCAACGGCCTCAACAATCTCCATTGTTTCGTTGCTCAGCGATGGACGACATATAACACGTTACAATATGTTCTTGGCATAGACAACATAAAGTGAACGCATAATGTGCAGATCACACAAATCTGTCTACTGTCCGTCTGTCCACACCAGGCCATCCACAAAGTGCTCTAACATAATTCAATTAAATGTAAATTATAGTATTGTTTACTTGAAGTTTCAACAAAACCTCCATCAGATTTCTTGAAAAGGGTCTTCATAAGGAATACTGGTGCGTGGCAAGTTTAATAGTACATCAGATCTGAGCTAGTGGAAATGTACACGAATGAATAACGAAATTGTGTAATTATCAGGTTATAGTTCTTGCTGACTTCACCATACACACTGAAGCAGTGTAAGGAAAGAAGTGCCATAACTTGTCAGAATTTATTATTTTGACAGCAGCATCGTAAAAAGAGTTAATATTGTAGCGTGTTTTGCTACTGAAGACGCCGTTCAGATTGTTAATTGGTTTATTTAACAACCTACAAGTCGTAACTACAAACACTTATAACACAGTTGCGGGTTTACCCAATTTATAAGCCCTACACAATAATCTAGTCACTCTATCCTCAGTAGTCTTCACGTATTTATAACGCGGAAGCTATACAAGTCTCTCTTAATTACACACTCCCAATATAACTGTACTACAGCACACACAGAGTCTTTAAGTCACACAATAAGTCTTCACTGGCTTACTTCTCAGTTATCGTGCACTGTCACAAATAATCACATCAAATCTTCTAACCACGTGTTCTANTTGAGACTTCCCTTTTCGTCGCCTCCTACGACTCGCAGGATCACGGTGGAGGTATTCGACCCCGCCCCCACACGGGGTTGACTTCNCTGTCTTCGGCGGCTGCTACATTTTAACTGATTCCTTAGTCAAAGTTGACTTCCTTAGGCAGTGTAGTTCTCTTATAAACCTTCAGCCAGGCAACGGGAAAACGCCTCGCTTCCTTGTTGCCTAGTTGCCGTGTTTACAGGTGCAGCAGGGCAACGCTGTCGAGAGTTGTTTACTGCTGCATAGCAACCGCGGCATACCCCGCTACGTCACTGTTGTCACCTGCCACGTCACCGCAGGGGAGGAGGCGGAGCACTGAACGACCCGTCACCGTAGCAGCAGCGGCAGCGCTGTTACGCCACCGCTGGCGGGGGTGGGGGCGTTCTTCATAGTGCAAATACGTCGCAATATGTAATTTAATTGGTGTGCATAAAAACCACACCACCTGGGGACATGCACTAAGCGTACCGAAGCAATAACCGAACAGTAATAATAATAATATAGATTCTATTACCATAACAGAATTCTGAAGTATAATATTAAATATTATATTTTGTGTATATTGTCTCGTGTTACCTATATAACGTTGTTGCGTGTTTCCATGGTAACCTACTTCTGAGAAACCAGTTGTCACGTGTTTGCTAGGTAACGCGGAGAATAACTTCCACGTAGGTTTCGGATTTGGACGAATATTTATTGGACACACTCTTTTACAGTCGCAAATACAGTTATTGTCACTTACAGCGTACTCGGACGTTTCGTCTTCGATATCACAATCTTTGCACCGTTAATCTCGGTGTCACCTTACTTCGCAGGTGTACTGCACACTGGACAGTTTATCTATATCTGTTCTCGGGGATTGCTAGAATTCAACTCACTCGTCTGTCAAAGTCAAAGTCACATTGCGACTGACGGACGGTCGGTCAGTCAGTCAGTCAGTCAGTCAGTCAGTCAGTCTTGGTGTCGAGCCCCTGGTCTCGGACGACATTGGGAGCACCTTCGCCCAGGGTTCGATTTCACGCATTCTATGCTTGTTACCGCGGAAATGCATTATTCCCGCTGTTTCAACAATTCGTTGCCACGGCTTTTCCTACGCAACGGTCTGTTGGTATTCCATGTGTCGCTGTGGGAACTCAACAATTTCCATGTATTCGTTGTCGTGGAAGTGCGTTCCCATTGTAGCCGTTGTGCAGCGATGGACGTAATATAACACGTCACAGTATATTTAGAATATTTTATATTTCAGTTAGATTTTATATATGACATAACTTCTAGCGTATTATGTGTAAGTTTCAAATTCATTCATAAGGTATCATGTGTGAAATCAGTCAATTTGAAAGTGTCATTGTCTGCGGATTATGAAGTGATGCCAAAAGACAGTATTTTCTGTTTGAAGCCAAGTCTTCTGCAAGAAGCCATGGTGCTTGATAATTTACCGGCTTAGATATAGGCGCAACTTCGAAGGTTTCGAGAATCAGAATTAGGGGCTTCCTATGGTCAGCGAGCATTTTCATTCATGGAAGCACACCATTCCCACATTTGAAGACGTTTACATTGATACACTTCCCCAACCATGTACAGTAGAATGTCGATTATCCGAATTAGTGACAGATGTAGGTCGGATAATCGGATTAAATTCTTTTCCCAGAAAACCGCAATATTATCATGTACTG